CTTCTTCTTCAAATAAATGAATCTCAAAGATAATCTTGATTTCATTTTTGGCACCAAGTGCTTCTGCAATCACAGTATCTTTAAATGCCATAAGGGTATAACTGAAATATCTCCGTTGTTTGACTGGTAATGAGAGCATTGCTATTGAATTTGGAAGATGATACTCCCCTCCCAGAGACGTTGAGCCCTCTTCCATTGCTGTGTCATATACTTCATCTTTACCAGGAGGAAAACCGTCACTTCAAAAGTTAACTCTGAGGCTGGTCCCTCAATGTTTACTTCTCCAATTGGTTAATTTTACTCAAGATTGGTAAGAACAACAAGGAATCAGTGTAGGCTCATGAGAAAAGTGAATTTGTTCATAATGATAATTGATGGTGCCACAAGCAATCCAAACCAAAACAAAAATGCCTGACTATCTGCCACACTTGGCTCATTTGAGGGTTCAGTGAAGGACTCCTACCTACATTTTGACAGGCCAGCATTTTAATGCTATCTGTTCTCCAACATAACTGTTAAAGATCAGACATGTCGGTTAGGACTATGCCTCCATAGTTCTCTCTCTCTCTCTCTCTCTCTCTCTCTCTCTCTCTCTCTTTCATTTATGGAGGCAAACCCAGTCTTGACAGCAAGGCCATCTAACAGTACTGCAGTGTGTTCCTAGGTTAATTTTCAGCTCTTGACCGCCACTGCACACAGATTACATTCAGATCCTTATCACAGTAGTTAACACAGAAATCCAATATGTAAGCTTACGCAAAAAGGAACCTGTTGTTTGAGAATTATATGTATTCAGTTATTCTTATAAGTACAATACAAAAGAGAACTACATTTTAAGTAAATTACAGAATTAATGCAAATTCGCATTATTGTCTCAAGACCCTAAAGTTTATTCCCAGCCAGCCATCCTTTTAAAAATATCACTGCTAAGACAAACCAAATCAAAACAAAGAACCATCCAACCAGTAATATTAAATCACCTTAGCATCCAGAAGTACTCTCAACTCTTGCTTTCTACATAGCTTTGATACCTGGGCTACTACAGTAGTAGTGGTCAGACAGTAGGTTCTTCATGTAGCAAAGTGGATACCTCCATCGTTTTAATATAAGTAGAAATTACGTAGTAGGAGGTTGTGAATAAGGACAGATTAACCTTACATTGGGTAGCTGTTAGTTCAGATATACATATATATATGTATATATATATATATATATATATATGTCATTGTGGGCTTGGTGATTAATAAGCATATCACAGATGGTAACATACATATCAACCTGGAGATATAATTTAAGGTAGTGATCAGAACCAAGAGTACAGTAATAACACAATGTGACAGTGGCTATCAAGATTGCAAGTACATAACTCTTTCACTTAGACGTTGCACCCTTAGAGGCCGTCACACATATGCATGAGTTCAAACTTGAGTGTATGAATTGTGATGTTTATAGTCATGTTTATAATGACAAAAGATGAAAAAAAAAGAACACTTCAAACATCAACTTCCCTTCCTATTTTAATATACAAACACAAACATTCTGATAGCTTTTGTTGTTTGCTTACTATGCACTAGACCCAGGGCCAGATGTTATCTGTCTACTTATTTATCTACAAATTCATATGACATTTGCTATCTTATCCTTGTGTCATTTAAAAATATACACTGTGGATGATTGGATTTTCCATGTTTTCAGCTGTTTTGTGTTCTGGAATGTAAGCACAGACCCCATGCATCTCAATGGGAAGGATTCAAAGGACTTATTGTTTCACACATAATTTACATGAGTGTTTGAAGCCTTTCGTAGTCTCAGCTGAAGTCTCTAATAGTCTCAGCTTGCTCAGTGTCCTGAAACTCTTCCCTCTTATTCAGCACAGGGCCCTCTTGATAAAGGACACCACAGAGCAGAATGGTTCCAACCAAAAGTTTCTAGAAACCCTGTTCTGTAGAGATGCATTCAGGGTGTAGCAAGGCAGGCAGATTTCCCAAGGTTGTCAGCTCCTTGCCAGAATTCATGCAAAACCTTGCCCACATTTTAGAATGACTTCAAGGATTGACAGAACTGTGATCTGTGGTTTGTCAGCATTATCTTACGCTGTATTTATTGACCTCCAGATGAAAGCAGTAGATTCAGAAAGACACTTCTGTGCTGTTAGGAAATATCAATGAAAGGGCTGAGGGACTCTGACTCCTCCAAAATTGCATATATTGGATTTCCAAAGAGTTTTTAACAACCTGTCAAAAGCTAAAAGACCACTTGTTTAGCAATTCAAAGCTCTCACCTTGGGAAGCATTTACAACAGCAGTCATGGTTCACTAAAGTTATTCTTTAGGAATGATAATACCAAGTGACCTGGAATTCTGAATACATATTTTTAAAAAGTTACTATGCTTCCATAATTATTTAGTGGAATATAATGACTTTTAACTTGTCTTAAGTGTTTTGGTAGATAGCCTTTACAATAGCATCCACTAGGAGTGTATATTATAGACTATCCGATGAGGACTCCCAGACTACAATTGTGACATTTCAAATGCATTCTGGAAATGTTTGCCTTGTGTCTTACTTAATGTCACAACTCTACCTGTGCACTCAGGTTGAGACCCTAAGGAAGCACAGGTTGGAGGAAGACATGCTGTGTTTTAGCATTCTTGATATAGTGTATTAGGGAAGCTTACAGGCTCTAAGACCAGATAAGCTAGATTCAAGTCCAGAGTAATCACTTTCTAATGGTGTGATACCAGGCAAGTTACTTCTTCACCTCATCAGTGATTTAAACCAGGGTTGATAGCAACCCATCCTGTAATTTAATTAGTGACCAACAAATAGTGGCCACTGTTTTTGCCTCAAACTACACCAAAGGCAACAAGGTAGGCTTTGTAGGAGTTCATGTTGACACTCATAGCTGTGGGACCCAAGGTTCAGACAGAATTAGATGACTAACTGTTTAGTTTTATAATGACTCATCAGTTGGTTTCAGAAGTAAAAACACAGCTTTAGTACATTGACTAGCTTCGGGGTAAAGGATGTGACTTCCCAGGGAAATAATAGAGGGACTTGGAAGGAAACCTGCATGCCCAGTCATATGTTCTCAGGGCTATCGAACTAGTCATTTTACCAGATCGAAAGTAGAGTGGTCTAAGAAGAGTCAATGTATATCTGGTCTGTTGGCAACACAAGGGAAGAAAATGTTCTCAACCCTGCCTTCCACACAACCATGCAATGGCTGGTGGATGTCAGGAGGTTTCTGATTTGGTTAAACGTGTAGGTCAATCGAGGCTGCTCCAAAAAGAACTTCCATTGGCTTTCTGTGCATACCTAGCAGAAGTAGATTATGCTGCCCTCTCTGGAGAGGAATCTTGATTCGGCCAATTTAAAATTTCCTACACTTTGCCCTGTAAAGCATCTCAGTTCCGTTTTGAAGAGCTGAACTGAAATGCTTCCCTCAGCCACCATGGAAAGACTTAGCTTGCCACTCTGTGAGAAGTAAGTGGGTTGCTGCTGATCCCACGGGAGTAGTGGCTACACCTAAGGAACTTTTTAGGCTATGTGTCTCCAGGCAAACAAACCCTCAGAGTTTGTCAAAAGCATTTGCTCTCCCAGATTTTTTAGCCATTTCTCTTTGTATTTCTACTAGCACTTCCCTTCAGGGGCTGGATCCTAATCTATGTCCCATCTCTAAGCCTCAGAAATGCCTGGAATTCCCTTAAAATGTGGCTACTGGGGTTAGGCTTCCCAGAGACCCATGTAGCACACTGCATGAATTTCTCCAACCTAATACTATCTTTCCATGTGTGGAGGCCAGGGCCGGCCTTCAGCACGTCCACCAACTACAGTCTCATTCCTGTATGCTGCAGTTGCCTTTATGGGTGGCTTTCTATTGCTAACAATGGGAAGTACTGATACATGTTTGCACAACTCTAGCGTCTCTGGCCCTTTCACCTAGACAGTTGTTGTTAGCATCACAAATTCACCTGTAGGTGGGCACTAGAAGCCTTACTGGGGAGTGGAAGAAAATGAGAGCCCCGGGCACTAGGATGTGCCCTGACTTCCAAAACTACCCAGAGTCAGCGCTAGATGCTTACTTATGTCCTGCCGTGTTCTCTGAGCCCATTCCTTCCGATAACTGTGGAAATCGCAGCAATGTCAACGACTGAACGTTTTATAAACCTTATCACAGAGTTCTCCTCTGTCTTGTCCATGAACTAGGCGGAGATAATGTCAGGAGGCCTACATTTGGGGACCTGACATCCTGGACCCTGAGTGCCACCTCCACCTGGGGGTGGGTGGGTGGAGTGTGCCTTGAGCATTCTATTAGTCACCTATAAAATGGCAACAACTGTCTATTTGTGGGTTGCTGAAGTGGATAAAGGAAGTAACACATGTAATTCAGCTTTTGGCCCAGGCCATTTATTTCATGGAGAGGGATGCAGCAAGGATCTGGCATTTCCCTTACCAGTCTGGGCCACTTTCATCGAAGCCGTTTGTTTCCTAAACCCTGCCTGGACCCCTACTTTCTGGGTCCTCAAAACAAAGCTCTCTACAATGACCTTGCCCATGAATCATTGCACATCATCTGTTTGGGGAAAAGATTTGCACTCTTGACCAACTCTCAGTTTGTGGACCATAATTTAAGGAGGCTATACCTAGCCAGGCTGACATCGGGACTTGTACTTTTCCAACGTTAAATTTTGTCATAGTTACACAGAAAGAGTTTTTTTAAAATGCATAACTGTATCAACTCTCCAGAGTCCATGGTTCAGGATGCCTGGGGTTGGAACCCCAATTCTTCTTTCCAATGATAATAACAGTGTCACTGCTCAGAAAGCTACACTCGTCAGAGGCTAAGAAAAAGCCCAGAACAAAAATCTGGTTCAATAGTCACTAGGAAGAGAGAGGAGTAGTGTCCTTCAGAAAGCCCTCCCTGATAATTTAAAGGTGGTGCCGCATCCCCCCCCCCACCTCATCCCACCTCCAGCCCTTCAGATCCGGTGCCTTACCTTGTAGACATTAATGGGGATGTCGATGATGATGTGTAGTAGGTCTCCCAGAGCCAGACTGGCGATCAGGATATTGGGACCATTTCGCATACACTTGTTCTTGTAGATGATCCTCAGCAGCGTGGAGTTCCCGATGATGCCCAGCACGAACACGAGGCAGGACACAATCGTGTTGATGTATTTAAAAGTCTTGCTGATCTCAGTATTTCGCTGGCATGGAGGAGGGAAGGATCTTGGCGGGACTCCAGCCACCCTCCCTCCTTTGGTCACCTCCGCAGGTGCTGAGGAACGCGTCAGACTGGAGTTGGAACCCCTCGCCCAGGAGGTCTTGGTGGGTGGCATCATTACCTCTCTAGTCCCCAGAAGAGACGGTGTGGCTTGGGCAGGTGGGAATCCTCTTTCCTCTCCCCAAACTTCCAACAAGCCACAGGCCAGCAGCAGCGCCACCAAGGCGCGTCCGCACTGACTTGCCGGGGGATGCATGTTACAGCTTGCTCCAGTGGGAGTCCCGGTAGCCGCTCCGCTGCTTTCAGTCTGCAGACCAACAGGGAAACGAAGACAGGGCACTTTTGTCAGCTACGCCGGCCACGCCTCTGCAAACACTCACTAGCCCTGTCGCCACTACCCTACCCGCGTAGCAGTAGCTTAAGTTTGCGCGCCAATGGGGAACTTGGGCGCGCGCCACCCGTTCGCCCGCATCCAGTCTCCTTCCTGACCCTGCTCGCTGTGTTTTAATCCCCAGCTCCTGGCCCTGCAGTAGACAAGTCGTGGTGGGGCGGAGCATTCCGGCAGGGGTGTTCCAGACAGTGGAGGCTGGGTGTCCCAGGGAAAGAACACTGGAAGAAGCAAAGCTTCAGGACCCAGAATGAAGGCACCTAGCAGCCAAGGGCAAGCGCCAATGCGCTCAGCACCAACTGAGAGAAAGAATGTCAGCACCAACTTCTGTGTTTTTCGAGTGACTTCACTCAGTCGCTTTCTAACCCAATCTCAGTGTGAATCGCTGGTGTGCGTAATTTTACTTGTTTTAAAGTCCCCAAACTATTAAACTGAGCGGGAATCCTCAGAGCAAGGTCCAATCTCACACTTTTTAATTTCAACATTAAACCAGAACAGTTAGTTACCTCGCACGAATTGGAAGCCCCAGGCTCAACCACCAACAGGGAACCTCCTACCCTGTCCTCGAACCGCCTAGGGGGCTTGAGGCTCGCAGCAGGATCCCAGCTGCTCCTTCAGCTGTAGGCAGCTCTGGCTCTGCCCGGAAGGCTGAGAGCAGCAGCTCACTGGGGTCTCTGCTGTCCCCAGACAAACACTTTTTATTCATTCATCCCTTCCCCAGCATCAATCACCCCAGACTCCTCCCGAGTTTTCTGAGCGACCTTGCCACAACCTTCCCCCTTGGGCGATGCCTGGACAGTATCAGCCTCAGCTGCCCACTGGAGTCCTGGCTCGGAATTGTGTCCCACACGAAGCTGTTTATTTGGCGTTTAGCTGAGATCCTAAGGTATCCCATGGCACTCTGGGAACTGGAGTTTAGGGCAAGGCTTTGTATTAACCTGACTCGGAATACCCTGACTTCTCACCGAAATGTCCCATAGTGATACTTGAAATGTTTGATCTGGGGCAGTTGCCTTTTGTTCCTTGTTTTGTCCCGTAGTTTCAAATCAACATAAAGGGTCAGGGTCCTTTCTCCTCGGTTGGAGGGATTGCCCAGGGCGAGGTTTGAAAGGCCTCCTTCATTGTGTGCAAGTGTTGCTGTTCCTGGGTACTGAAGTGTCATCAGGGGCTCTTTCTGCTGTGCCTGAAGGGGATCGGGAAAATAATCAGGAAGCAGACTCGCAAATTCAAACTGATGCTTATTTTACCAGACAGCAATGAAACACATTCTTCCTGCCCACTCTTGAGCTCGGCCTTTAAGGCACAGAAGGGGTTGCTACTGATCTGCAAGTTTGCTCAAAGGTACCAGGTGAGATGCGGGTGCATTACTATGCTGTCAGCAAGATTCTGCAGCGCCTGTGAAGTGTAAACGTGTAAACAGCAAAAGAAGCCATCCCATTTAGAAGTTTCTCCTACTGACCAGGGACTTCACAGCTAGTTACCTGGGGCTTCTCCCAGTGGCCGTTTTTGTTTCACAGCTAGTTCGCTGTGCAGCTAGGACCCAGATCTTGGATGGCTGGCTCCTATCAAATGTTTTCCCGTGAAGCTGGACGCAGAACACGGGTGTCTATTTTAAGAGGTTAACTTTAAAAGTGGAATACAGTTAAGAAGGTGATTATGAGCGAGGTTTAAGGAAAGAGAACTATCGTCTGGGTGTGAGTGCTAACCCCAAATTTGGCTGTTTTGAAGACAAATTTTTATTCCTCTGCCTCAGTGATGACAGGGCAACGTTGGCGTCCTTCATAGTGGACTCTAGTGACAAGACACAGTGTTGATCACACAAGGGATTCCATGAGTGGGTGAGGATGTGACCAACTCACTCCACAAAGGGCAGTTTTGAACCCGAGGCTTTGTCCCTGTGCTCAGGACTACCTGGTGGCTCTGTCTCCTCCTCTCTCTGTTTCTCAGCACCTCTGTTCACGGTGTCCTTCATGCAACGGAGAATGTTCCTGTTCCCACTGAGTTCTATCCCCTGTTTTTATAGCCCTTTTCCTGGACTGCTAATGTAATTTAATAGTTACCCTGGATACTTGAGATGTCAGTTGGCCACAACCTAGAATCTCTTTGGGTGGGAACCCTGCATGAGTGAATACCTAGATTGGCCCGTGGACGTGTTATTGGGGAGCTCATTGAGGTATTTATCGAGGTTGGGAAGAGCCACTCTGAATGTGGGTACACCTGCTTTCATGGGCTGAGCTCTGAACTGCACACAATGAAGAAAGCTGGTTGATCACAGGCAGAAAGCATGCTTATAGTAGGCAAACAGCTCTGCTTCTGATGTGGGGATGTGGCATGATTGGCGGCTTGAGATACCGCCTTGGCATTGCCTCAGTGATGGCCTTGAGCCTGGAATTGAAAGCCAAACAACCCTGTCCTCCCCTAAGCTGCTTTTGGTCAGGGCGTTTTATAATCAGAATGAAAACTAATAGAATTGGTAATGTTTAATTGAAATTTAACCTTAAATATTTAGCTTTATTGTGCAAGTGTAATTATGTGAAATGTAAAGGTTAAATATTTGATCCCCATGAATGATCATCACAAAGTCACAAGAAATTAAACCTTGGTTTCTCAGTGTGTAAAATGGAGGGGAATATTAGCTTTATTGGATGAGGCTTTTTTCTGGGATTTGTCGTTTAATAATTTGGGAATTATTTTTAAACAGCAGAGTGAATGGAATTTACCAGAAACTGCAAATTAAAATGAGGTTAGGGTAGTAAAGGGGAGGCCCTGAGCATTGGAATCTACTGGCAGGAACAAACGTCTACCAAGTGTCTTTCTCCTCCTCACCATCTTCCTCTTCTCGTGGATTGGACTGCACTGCTGCAGACATGGGTTACTATGTTCTTTGCATCGTTACATGCTATCTTTTACTAACTTTATCAGTGAGCTTGCATGTTCTGTGAAAGTTTCATTTGCATATTGAGTGAAATATACCAAAGTTTAAGAATAACTATTGAAACTTTTGGAGTTGATCCAGCCGTGTTTATGGAAGAAGACTCATTCATTCTAGGAGACTACTTCTGTGTGAAATCTTTTTACAGTCTCTTTCATGAAGACAGTCTTCTAGGGTGTTTGTCTAGATTCACATAGGCTAAGACAACCTCCCAAAGTCAGGAAGTCAGTGATGGGCAATGCCCCAATATCTCCTTTAAATGCTTCAGCTAGTAGGAGCTGAAAACAAGGTTTCGTGCTCTTCAGAATTTGTTCTTCAAAGCGGTTTGCCACAGGGAGCTAGCTCAAGGCAAACATTTTCCCCTGGTGAGAGAAGAAAGGAAAACACCTTTTAGCCACAAAAAAGCTAGTGCCTTCATATCATCCTCTTGATATGGATGTACTCTTTGAAACCAGTTTTGAACTCTCTAAGTCATGGGTGCTGAGGGACAAGGTGTGTGAAAAGAGCAGACAGTATTGTCTCAATTGCTTCTTCACACATTCCCTGAGGGCCAGAGCCAATGATCAAATGGCAGTTGCAGTAAGAGAAGGGGGGAAAAAGATTTAAAGTCACTGTATGAACCAATAGCAAAAAGCATCACTATCCATTCTTTCCTTCCTTTCTTTTCTATTAAGTTTCTGTAGCTGTGTTGGTCTAATTGTTAGTTAAGGTACAGTTTGTGAACAACAGAGAGAACAAGTACACAAATTAAAGAATATTTTTTAATTACGTTTTAATTTAATTTTATGCATGTTTACATGTGTGGACACATATGCAGAGGACAAACCCAGGAATCATTTGTCTCTTCCCACCATATAGATCCCGGGGCTTGAGCTCAGTGTTCACCCAGTCTTAGTGGTAAGAGCTTTTACTCACTTAGCCTTCTTACAGGCAATTTAAAGACTGCTGAGAAATGTGTACACCCTGCCACCAACATACACACACTAATCCGTTTTGCCAGGTGGGTCTTGGTATATAGCCCAACTGGCATGGGCACTGCCCCCTCTGTATTCCGGCCTGGGATCATCCATCTTTCCTATGGCGTGCTGGAATTATAAGTGTGTATACCAGGCGTCATGTTCTCCTGAGTGCTGCAATTACGGTATGCATTCTAGTGTCCCCTTTAAAATTGTATGTATTCTTGCCAAATGGCAAAATTTGAATCCTTGGGTTTTGGCATTATTTTTGTTAAGTCATTCATATGGCATTGTTTCTGTCTTGTTGATTTATTTTATACACACAATCAGATTTTATAGTTGGGACATGGCTTGTAATTAGAGGTATATAAGAGGGTATAAGATTTGAAAATTTGTTAGTGAAATCGGTTGCTAGCTACAGTCTATGCTTCCAATATAATGAAGATTTGGCAGGCTTATTAACTACAGGGAGCAGAGCACAATCTATTCTTTTCTTCTTCCAGGAAATATTAAAATCAGAAAAGCCACACTTGTTTTTTAAATAATTTAAAATACGTTATAATTCAGCGACTTTAGGCTCTAATGTAAATTCAATTAGAACATAATGATTTGTTGTAGTATTTAAATAATTCTTGTTTTTTTTTTTTCTGTACCATGTTTTTGCCTAAATTTTAGTAAAAGAAAGTAATGTATGACTTGGTTTATAGACTTAAAACTGTTGGGAGAACTCTTTCACACAATATTAAAAACATCCAGAATTCCAGTGTGAGCGCATTCGAGCTTCCTGTGTGTGTGAGTGCGTGCACAGGGCATCTATGAAACTTTATATTACTTAGTTGTAGAGAAAACACTGTTGTAATTTGAGGTCCAAACAACTCAATGGCAAGTAAAGCACCAACAAGGGGACATTATTTCACGTAGTGTGCCATTTGCAATGAGTATCTGAAGTTATTTTCTTTTGTTTTTACTTTCCCCATTCCATTCTTCTGATATCAGAAGTGGTTGAAGAGGTGTGAAGCATTTGACGTTAGGAAAAAAAAAAAAAAATAGAGAGACTCGGCGTAAATAACTAGCGGTGAATAGAACTCTGTTTTTTTTTTTTTTTTTTTTTTTTTTTTTCCCCCAAAGAAAGGAAGAGCTCATTGCAGTACGGAATGGAGTATCCTAGGAGACATCAAGTAGAATTTCCACAGCAGGCTTATTTTCCTTATTCCAATTGTATTTAGCCAGCTAGACATTT